AAAAAAAATACCAGCTAAAAGTATAAAAGTAGTAAAACCCTTGTTAAGTCAAAAAGTAGCAAAATGCTAACATTAAAAAGTTAAAAGCTAAAAGTAACAAATGAGTAAATAAAAGGTAAAAGCAGCAAAAATAAGTAAACACCTAGTTACAAAGTAAATGTAGCAAAAGACTAGCTAAAAGCTAAATGTAACAATAGAAGCTAGAAGCTGAACGCAACAAAAGTATACTGTATCTTTCAGACTATAAGGGACACTGGATTATAAGGCTCTCTATCAATTTTTGAGAAAATTAAAGGATTTTAAGTGCGCCTTATGATCCGAAAAATAAGCAGCAAAAGAATAGCTAAAATTAACAAAAACATAGCTATGGGCTAAAGTAGCAAAAGGCTAGCTAAAAGCAGCAGAAAGAGATAAAAACAGAGCTTCAAGCTGATTACAAAAGATGCTTTTGAAGAAAATGACGACATCTCAAAATATTTTATGGGGAAAATATTTGCAGATAAAGTTGAATATTCTGAAAAGAAACCGAAGGTCAGCGCGTCAGTCTCCTGAATGAGCCAAACATTTTGATATAATGGCTGAAATAGCACAGAGTTTGCAGAAATAGAGTGCAGAAAACAACTTGAACTAAATCAGTGCGATCATGTGGCCCTGAACTGCCAAAGTGGAGTAAATTAAGCGTGAGAGTCGTGCATTGCAAGAGAAAATTCACCATAAATCAAACTGCTCCCCCACCCCAGGCCCAAACCCCCCCAGTAAAGACAGAGCGGAGCGGCTCGGTGCAGTCAGTACCTTCTCGTTTGTATAGTCGCTGATGTACAGCGTGTGGCCGAACTCGTCCATCTCCTCTGACCAGCCACGCAGCGGCGACCCATACCGACTGTCTGATTGGCTAGAGTAGGTACTGAAGCAGGCGTCCTCTGAAGACAGAGGCTGGAGGAGACCGTTGGAGAGCGACAGGAAGGGAAGGAAGGACGGCGAGAGCGACAGAGGAGTGGTCTACCACCAGCGTAAAGAAAGAGAAAACAGGATGTTTCACACAGGAGGTACTACAAGACAGAAAACAGTCCAACGCATGAAAATCAGTGCAATATTTGAAAAAGAATTAAAAAATGCCCACCACCAGCTTGATCAAGCACAGAGAAGCAGAGGAGCCACCAGAAAGCAGAATATGAGCCCCATAATTTTGACTGATTTTTAAAACATGGCTGTAAATGTAAAGGAGACTCCTGCCTGACACAGACTGGCTGAAGGGAAGGATCTGGGCCTGTAGGTGGCAGTGTGGTGCAGCGGTTTACTGAAGCCGAGCCTCCGAGATGTCACCCTGAAGATGCACACCTGTGCAGCAGTTGATCCTAATAACTGTAAATCACAGCTGATCCGCTGCAGTCTCATTAAAACCCCACCTGAGAAACCTGACAACTGCAAAGAGCTGCTTCTGGTTTACTTTTTATTTTACTCATTTAAAGTTTATCCAAGAGCAAATTACTCTGCTGCGGGAAAAATAAACAATTTTTATTCTCTCCAATTTTATTTTTTTTTGTCTGATAAAACAAATCTCTCAAAACTATTTGTTAGTAATTTAACTCTGTCTGTACATACAGAACTTTTAGTTAATAAGTATTTAACATTACAAGTACTTTTACCCATACTCAACTGGAAAACAAATAATTTTGTCACTTGTCGTGATAAATACACTAAAATGAAGTTTAAATTAAAATGAACCAGGACACGTTTGACTGTGATGTGACGTTTCTAGGAATTACTGACCCAAACCTGTTCACCATTTATTAATGGCTGTCGCCACGAATGGCAGACAATCATGTAAATTTGTGTCTGCATGTTCACCTGACTGTTTATAAGCAAATTATCTCATGATATTCTGAACAGATTTTCAGAAACTAAATATTGGATTAGGATCTACATCTGGTGGAGTCAACCTGATACAAGATGGCCACCACGGCTAATCAGCCTTTCAGTCAATTTGACAGGTTTTGAAATGAAATTAGATGTGGTAGTAACAATTATCAATACTGTTGATAAATTGGTACCAAGTACAAATAGATCACATAAGATATTTGTTAAAAACTTTGCAGCTGATGTGCATTTCTTCAGAAGATACTTTGATTTTAGAAGTGAGGCTTTCAGGTTATTTTATGAAAGAAATATTGTTTGAACTAAAATAAACTTCACATTTAAGCTTTACTTTGGAGAGCAAGTTCAAATCAAATATATATTTGTGCCACAAACCTGATGTCTGAATCTGGACCATGTGTTTATTGTGCTCACGCTTAAAAATGTTCTGTCTTTTTTTAAATACTTAACATAATCTTTCTTTTTTTTTTTTTTAGCAAAACTGTTCTTAAAACAGTGATATAATATAATACATTTAGACACGAGAGGAGATCTGTGCCCCCTAGTTTAAATGAAATTCCAATTTTCTATCATTCGTGTCTTTTGAAGACTAAACTTTAATTTAAATTAACTTATAAGTCGACTTTTTCCACAGATTCTCAGCTCAGACTGACTGGAGTTTCCCTCCTCCAACTTCTGAGCACTTTCAGATGAGAGGCGATTCCATCTGTACGGGGCGGAGAGGTGATGCGTCATGCGCTGATAAAGGTAACCATGGCAACTGAAATCATTAAACCCACCTGTAGATATGACAGCTGATGTACAGCTTCACTGAGCCTCACTTTTTATCACAGCCCCAAACACTCGCCTCAACCTTTACATCTGATTAAATGTTAATGTGAAGGCTGAAGAGCTCAGAACATTTACTTTCCCTTCACAGAAACAACATGTCACATGACTGGACAACAAAATAAACAAAAACAAGCAGATGTTGCTTATAAGGAGAGGAACAGATCGTTATCACCTGGTGTCAAACGTGAAGCGTTAATGTTTGTACACCAGCCTGTGTGTGTGTTCACTCGTCTGTACGATTAGTAAAATATCCCATGAACTGCTAAAAAGATCTGAAGAAAACTTGCAAGATGGTAATCACTGGGTTGACGTCCAATACTGTTTTTGGAGTCAGCGCGGTTCAAGATGGCTGCTTCAGCAAAGTGATCTTAGCAAACACGATGTTTAAAATGTTGCCATTAGCTTTTGGAGTCGACTCCGTTTGATTTAATCCCATTCAAGATGGCGTCCACAGCTGATGGTTGTTATCCTACACACAACTTCCCATTTTGTTTATTTACTGCATCTATTTTTTCAGCTGGCTAACTTCCTGCTGCAACCACAGACCACCGAGCTACCACAGCCCTCTGGGTGGAGCAGAGTCCAGGGATTTGAACCGGCGACTTCCAATCACAGGCTCGTCATTTCTGACCTCTGCTCCTCCTCCTCACAACTTGTAAAAATTTAGTGAATTTTAAAGAAACTGAGTTAAAACTTGGTGTGGTAGTAGCTATAAGTCCATCCATCCATTATCTTTTACCCGCTTCTTCCTTTTCGAGTCATGGGGGTCACTGGTACCCATATCCAGGAGTCACTGTGGGAGGGGCGGGGGACATCCTGGGCAGGTCTCCAGTCCATCACAGGGACACATAGACGAGACAAACAACCAGTCACTCTCTCACCTAGGGACAATTTAGAGTTACCAATCAGCCTAACATGCATGTTTTTGGTCTGTGGGAGGAAACTGGAGTACCCAGAGAAAACCCATGCAGAAAGCCCCCCAGCCAGGGTTTGAACCAGCAACCTGCTTGCTGAGAGGTGGCAACTCTACCAACTGCACCACGTAAACATCATATTTCAAGTGCTTAAACCCCAAAAGAGATATCGCACGAGTTGAGCACTGTACTATTTTTAAGGTTTGAACAAAATGGCTGTTTTTCAGAATATGGTCATTTTAGTTTAAAACTCGGGCAGAAAAGGCGTCAGGCGATAGGCATTCCTTAAAAAAAAAGCTAGGTCTTCAAGTACCGTATTTTCCGCCGTACACGTCGCACGTCGAATATGTCTAATGAAGTGGAAAAATCCATTAATATGTCGCATCTATTACGAATCACCAATGACAACCCGGAAACGTGGGTCAGTGCTGTGCCAAAAATCGACTGGCTGCCAAATGGCGGACGCAGGAGCGTGCACGGGAGGACTTAAACAAGAATTTAACAACACTTAAAAACAACTGTTTGCTCAAAATTATAGTAAAGGTGTTTCTCAGTTTAACTTTTACTTAATAAATGCACTTCAATGGTCAAATCAGCTGCAATTCAACGGGGCGGTGCAGCGAAATGAAGCTGATTTGACGGTTGCTCCAAGTGAGCTGGACGAAGGTGGCAGGCTATGGCAAGCAGACTGTCATTAATAGCCACTTTTACCTATTATGTGACAACAGCATGCCATACCACTCGAGTGCCATCTAGTGGCTGAAAATGGTAGTGTCCAATATCTTCAATGTCAGAATGAATGAAAATGGTCATATCTCTGACAAAAATTGGTTTAGAAATATGGGAAAAAATACATAAATACGTTGCTTAGGCATGTTAGCATGCAAATTATGCAAAAACTGCGACTTCTAGGGCGAAAAATACGGTACAGATACTTTTAAATAGCTTAACAGATGACATTATCCAAATTATGTGTTTGTGACTATTTGATCATTTTTAAGGGACTTCATTGTTTGTAAATTTCACACGAAATGTCTCTAATTATGACAAGGATTTTCCCCCAGACACTGTTTTTTAGTTTTTGCTGGCATCGGTTCGTTTCCCGTGTTCTGTGAATATCCTCAGATGTTTACCTCAGAGTTTTCACCAGAGCTGTGCCCATTTTCTCTGGAGCTGCCAGTGCTGGCGTCCCTGGTTCGGGGGGGCTTCCAGGTCCTCTCCTGTGTTGAGCGGTTGTAGTAGTAGTGTCGACCGCCGAGGTCTTTGTAGGTCTCCCAGTCATCATTTATGAAGAGGGGAGGACCGGATGGCAGAGGTGGCAGGGCTTTCTGGGAAATCTTCAGCTCCTGGAGGTTGGTGTAGACTAAAGGATCTATCTGTGGAAAAAAAAAGATGCAAGAAATCACCAGATGCAGATAAAGCCCTATACCTAGTTTTTTTTTGTCACAGAGTTCAAACCAAAGCTGAACCCCACACTGTAAACACCACCTTTCAAGTGAGCTGCACACGGAGTCAACAACCTAATCTTCTAGTGTGTTTACGGCTTATTTTACACTCAGCTGCACAGGAGCACAAAGGAAAGAACAGGAGGATCATGAGGGAAATAATAAGGTGTATTTCATACTGACACAGCTGCTGTCAGCCACAGAGGAGCACATCACCGAATAAACTCAGGAGGAGGAGGCTACTGTCGTTATTTACCGGGGATGGTGATGAACAGACCGGAGTCGGGTAGAAATTAAGTAGAACTTGAGGTTCACACAAAGCATTGAGGCAGTTCCACCTTTTTGTTGTTGGGGGGGGGGGGGGGGGACTAAGAAAACTTGGATAAATTTAGTTAATTTACTTCATTATTCCCCTCTGTCGGTAGGTGAAAGTGAACAATAATGGTTTAGCTCATGCCTCTGTGTGTGCAATAGGTGCGATGCTAGTATAATATCTCATTGCACATCTAGAACTGATCACCTTTTGGTAATTCAAGATGGCCACTACAGCTAAAAAAACCTAGAAATCACAAACTCGGAATTAAGTCTGGCCAAAATTTCCACTGTAAACAAAGACGGATTTCTATATAGATAACAGAGTATCGCTTTAACCTTAGATTGCAAAACATTAACATGATAAGAAAAAGACAGAGCACCATCAATACAAAGTCCCAAATATTAATAAACTGTTACTTCTTCTATAATATCATCATTTACACCTGTGAAGTCTACCGAGGTGGGTATGGTTCCTCCTCCATGACCAAACCACATAAATTTAGTTTTCTTGGCATTTAAGGACAAATGTAAGTCAGAAAAGGCCTGGGACTTCACAATCTCATCTGGACTACAACCAAAAGCATATAAAATCGTGTCATTGGCATATAAATGGATGGAGACCTCACTAACAGAATGCAAGATATTATTTATAAATATGGAGAAAAAAAGTTGGACCAAGAATGGAGCCTTGGGGTACACCTGACATAACTGGAAGAAACTGTAATGTATGAGAGTCAAAGTCTCTGGCATGAAAGATGACGGGTGACATTCATTTAAGGAATGCTAGACCTTTAATTATATATTAGCTTGTTTAACAAAAGCTCAATAAATAATGAATTAAAGTTAAAAAAGACTAACTAAACAACTACTGTCCACAGTTGAAATTCAGCCTGCATGCTGCCTGTAACACCGCAGCATCCTTCTACGCCCACATGAACGAGTGCTGGAGTCAATGAACTGCTCCTCATGATTATTTCATGTTGACATTACACGGCCTGGCTGCAGAGCTACAGGGTCGAGGGAATCATAAATAATGCCGCAGCCCGGAGGCTTGCTAACACTGGCCCTGTGATGTTTTTATTGCACGGGGATCAATAAGGATGAAATATGCAGGAGCCGAACAAACAGCTGGAGGTTCCCAAGAGAATGAAATAGGCGCCAGATTAAACGAACTCCGAGAACTGTTCAACCCGGCTTCATATTATACACACGACATAACTTACAGCCCGTTACGATGAAAACAAAACTAAAAAACGTTACCTCTGGTCGTGAGAGACAAATAAACACTGCAGCATCTACATGGTTTGAGATGGCTCGCAAAAACCTTCTTAAACGTGCGACTACCATGGTTCTTGATCATGATTTGGACTTCAAGTGAAGTTCTGTGCAGCGCGTCGTGAAACCTTTGTGATGATATAGAATTACTGCATGAGCATGTGGTATGGATCTGTCAAAAGGGACGTTCTTGTGGCCCACTTTAGGGTTGGCCACGACACCAAGTTCTCTGTCCAAGGCTGAAATAAGAATAAACTTTAGTTCCTCTAGTTCCTTTAGTTCCTAGTTTTAGTTTGGGTCAGAAACAAGACGCTTTCTGTTGAATAAAATCATCACTAATGTCTCCACTGTCAGGTCGGCTCATAAAAAATGCACAATGATATTTCATCAACATACCAGCAGCAGTAAATTGTCAAACATCTGGTCCTGGACATCTGGTGTGAACAGACCGAACATCTGAAGCAGCACCGAGGACATGAAGAGGTTGACCTCAGCCTACGAGAGAGCTGCTCTCTTTGATCGAACACAGCACTTTAAGTAAAGGTCGTTAGACACGTGTCATCAGCGACTCTGTGATAAAGAGCATTTCTGCTCATTTTAAGGAAACTTTTGGTTTTTGTTTTAATAAACAAGAACCACTGCACAGATTTGAAACTCTCACAAAATCTAACAAGGTTGAGTCAGCTCCTCTGGACGGATTCGTCTTTGTCGAAATGTTTCATCAGAGTCAGAGTCAGAGTCAGAGTTTCTTTATTGTCATTCGCACCTCATGTGGTACATGTGGTGGAGCGAAATTATGTACACAGGGTCCCAGTTACATCCAACAATAAAATGTATAAGAAAAACAGTAATAACATCTAAGATATGAACTAAGAAAAACATCAACTAAATATACACTAAGCACTCATAACATAAAACATTGAACATCACCACAAACATGAACATGAGTCTGTGAGCAGATGTGCACGCTTGAACACATCAACATTGAAACAGATCAGCAGCAACATGAAACAGATCAGCAGCAACATGATATGGTTTTTCACAGTGATTATTCTAGTTAAGAGATTCATGAGTCTAACAGCCTCAGGGTAGAAGCTGTTCCTCAATCTAGTGGTTCTACACTTAATGCTCCTTAACCTCCTTCCTGAGGGGAGTGGGGCAAAAAGTGTGTGTGCTGGGTGGGTGGGGTCCTTCATGATGCAGGTGGCCCTCTTCCTGCATCTGGAGGTGTAGATATCTGTGATGGTGGGGAGACTGATTCCAACAGATTTCTGTGCAGCCTTCACCACTCTCTGCAGAGAGTGTTGCCAGTTGACAATATTTTCTAAAAACATCAGAGTATTAATTAAACATGCAGTCATTCGATGTAAAAAAAAAACGCTAATTTGTTTGATTAGTAGAATTTAATGAGTTTGTCTTACTGAAGGTTAACAAGCAAACACTGTGGTGTGTTCATCATTTTTATTATTTTATGCTGTTTTTCACCCTGTAACAGGTGGCTTTGTTACTTTTTGAAAACTATCAATATCCACCACTGCAACAATGTTTTCTTGCAGAGGGGCAAATGCATTTTTATTCTATTTTAATCTATTCTAAATTATTAACCGTTTGCTACAAAGCAAACAAAGTGATGTAGAAGTTGTGACTTACTGGTTTCAAGGCATTACTGAGGAAGAACTTTAACAATCCGTTACCATTCTTCTGTTGGCATTGTTATACCACTTCTCTGGTTTTTTATTTTTTATTTTATTTTAAATTAGGGATGCACAATATTGGATTTTTGGCTGATATCCGATATACCAATATGTTGAAACTTATTTGGCTGATAACCGATGCCGATGCAGATATTTTATATATGTTCCTTTGTCAGAACATAGCATCTTATTTAGGCTTATTTGCTACAAAAATTGTGCAACAGCTGTAAGAGCTGGTGACATATATTCAGTAACAGCCATATGCATAACACTAACTTATATTAAATAAAGTGTTAAATGTTATTTATTAGCATTAGTCACCTGCGCTGCGGTCTCACTTGTGGAGGCTTGTTCCAGGTTCCAGTGTGGGATCCTCTGCACTCCTGTGCATGAAGGACAGACTTTTTAAGATCAAAGTTTTTGTCTATCCATTGTGCCGTAAGACTAATCATGCTAACAGGGCTAACATGACCTCCACATGTCTGTGATAAAACTCACCCCAGTGCTATCGGCTATTAGCTTCTCAACGACATCAGAAATGACGGCTTGTAACTCTGGTAACGTTAATTCAATTAAATTAAATTCAGTTTATTTATATAGCGCCAAATCGCAACAAAGTTGTCTCAGGACACTTTACAGGAACATTCACATAAAAGACAATTAGTAAAGTTCTCTATCTAAGGAATCCAGCAGACAAGTTGAATCTTGGCTTCGTTGCAGTCTCCCATCCTGAGCAAGCACAGTGGCAACAGTGGGAAGAAAAACAACCTTTTAAAAGGAAGAAACCTCCAGAAGAACCAGGCTCAGGACAAGAGGCCATCTGCTTTGACCGGCTGGTTGAGAGGACAGGAAGGAGAGACAGACGGACATAGAATGGTAGGTCCAGGTGTATCTGAAAGACGTTACGTCGGAAAAATATCTCCTACTGGGGACGATGTAGCGAGGCTCAACGCAGTCCATAAATCTTCGAAATCCGTCATCCTCACCAACAAAAAATAAAACTTCCACACCGTTGACATTTTGAATTTTCCTCTCAGCCGTGAGATCGGGTAGGCGCATGTGACGTCATCACGTTGTGCTGCCGCTGCAGGCAAGACCAGCGCCTTTTATATCGGTGGGTTATTTTAATGGAATGGCCGATGTCCGATATTGAATTTTAACGCTAATATCGGCCGATACCGATACCATGCCGATAATATTGTGCATCCCTATTTTAACTCGACTCATTTGCAGCACAAGAACAAGAGTTTTTGCAGTTTTAGGTGAATTATTAACCAAAATGTCAGAATTCCATAGTTTGAATTAGTCTTTTTATTAAAAAATTATGCTTTTATAACTATTTTTTTTTAAAGTACTGATAAAGTACTGCGCTGCTCCTCGGCTGTGGAACTGCCTTCATATCTGAGGGCCCCACGTAAAAAGGGTCGTAAAACCTTTCTTTTGACCCAGTTTTTAATTGATTGCGCTGTACTTTAAAAAAAAAAAAATTTTATTCACCCATAGTTCTTATTTGAGTATTTTATCTGCATTTTGTGCATTTGAAGTTTTCGATGTGTTCATTCTGAGGCGTTATCCTCCTGGTTGTTTTTCCTCTCGGTTGCTTTTATCCTGATGTTATCTGATGTTCAATCGTTGTAGCAATATGAG